AGTCATAAATGTTTTGCTATTTTAGAGGATTTAGACGTGACATGTGGCCAAGTATGGTGACCCATACTCGGAATTAGTGCTCTGCATTTAACCCATCCAAAGTGCACACACACAGCAGTGAACACACACACACCGTGAACACACACCCGGAGCAGTGGGCAGCCATTTATGCTTAAGAGCAGTACCTTCCTGAGCATCTCTGCATTTGGCACATCATGGCCCTTGCTGTCCCGGACCTCTCCTTTCAGGCTGTACTCGTAGAATCGGCCGCTCACATTCACCAGGATGGTGGTGGGACTGCTGTTCACGGCACAAGTCAAGGTGACGTCATTTAAGTCTTGAGGCAAATGGACGCCGAAGCGCAGAATTATACCCACAAACAAACCTGAGGACACAAAACATATTTCAAATACACAGCATGTTTAACAAATCACACACAGAGATACAGAATAAATGAAAGATAAATACAGAATAGCAAAAGCAGTTATAAAGCTACGAGTACAAACATCTACCATGGTAATCATAGTTTCTGCCAGAATACCTGTTATTGTTACTACAGTAAAACAGTTATAACATGGAGTTATCCTCCACTGCCAATATATAAAAAAAACAATAACAACAACATGTCAGAAAAATTCTTTAAGTTTTAAATGTATTAAAATATATTAATTTAAATTAAATTAATTCAGATTTTAAGTATATATATAATACTTATTAATTTGATTGAAATAGGCTTACATGAGTAAAACACATCAATTAATTAAGACTTATATTAAAGATTTAAACTTAGATACATCAATTACACAAATTCCACTGAAACTTTTATATGTATTACATTTATTAAAATGTATCAATTAATTCTTATTTAATATTTCAATTTAGAATTTATCAGTTTTTCATTTAGAATTTATTGAAGAAAGAATTTATTACACAACAACTGAATTAGCCTAAATATTGACATATATGTATAATGCATTAAAAATAAAATATATAAATTAAGAACAATATTTTAGATTTAAACTGAGATGTATTACAATTATAAAGTTTTTATTACAAAATAATTAAATTAAAAATGACTTAAATGTACTAAATTTAATAAAATATATTTTTAGTTAAGACGTGCATTTAATATTTTTATTTAGATTTTTAAGTATTAATTACAAAATAATTGCAATAAAATAGACTAAATCTTCACATAAATCAGGTTAAATTGAGCAGCTTTGTAAATCTGTCAAAACTAGGAGATTTTTTTTTACATTTGTCCCATATTAGTGGCTACAGTGTGTGTGCATATTTCTGGTGCCCTCCTACACAAGGTTCATCAGTGTGAACTTGAATATGATTATATAAAATAAATAAATCTCACCATAAATCATAGCCAAACCCGTCTCATGTAGGAACCTGAAGCGGCGGTGTTTGAAGAGCCATATCGTGAGGATAGTGAGTGTGAGTAACGTGATGAATATGAGCAGATTGGCGCTGTCCTGCCTGTGACTTTCCTCCGCTTTCCTCTCCGTTACCACATTCACCATCTCCGTGTTCTCAACCAGACTAATGACAGCAAAACACAGCAGGCAGAGTAAACGGGGGAGCAGAAAAGCCCCCGAGCCGGAGGTGCGTCTCCTCTGACATCCCATCATGACTGTGTTTGTGAGCGCTGTGGTGTTTCTGATGTGAATCACGGTTATCTATTTACCTTCACATAGCGGTGTGAAGACAGCAGCAACAACCTTGACAGAACATCTCCTCGCTTGACCGGAAGTAAGATATTACAGAATAAAAGACCGTGCTGAACAACTGTATTAATTTCTGCTAATAAATCGCGGCAAAATAGGTCCCAAAATTGTTAAAACTCACGTTCGTTAATTAAAATAAAGCTGAAATAAAATATAAATATGAATTATATAGATTAAAAACTTAAACGAAAATTAGAAATGTTGTGATTGACAGCTAACTGAAATAAGGTGAATTACTAAAATTACTGTCATTAAAATTATATATATATATATATATATAAATTAAATAAAGAAAACAAAAACACATACAATTAATAAAACTTAAAACGAAAATGGAAAACATAAAAATGAGAGCCAATTCAAAATATTAAACACTATATAAATAATACTAAAATAACACTGGCCTAAAGCACTTTAAAAGGAAGCATTTTTTTTTAAACAAATGGACAGTGAAAGATGCTTGTAACCCCTAGAAAATATTAAACATAAACCTCAAATATATTAAAATACGGTGGCCGAGAGAGCTCAACGCGCTGCAAATAGAAAAAACACCTGCAAATTAAGAAAACAACTTCATCAATTTGACGACACACGCGCTGCAAATGCTCACAACACAACCAAATAAAGAAATGCACTGCAAATACTCACAACACAACCAAACAAAGAAACGCGCTGCAAATAAAATTCTTTATTTGACTGTGTTGTGAGATGTATTCTTCGAAACATTTGGGATAAGTACACAAGTCAGCAAAATATATAACACTGTACTAGGGGTTTTTGGATATTTAAATAAAAAAAATCGTACATATTGTGCCTTTAATAGTGTTCATCGTCTGTTTGGTTACGTCATTAACTGAATTTTACCGTAAATTTCTACCATATGAAGGCTACATCATCTTGACTCACCACTGATAAGCTACTACTAAATAGAAACTTAATTTCCTGTAAAGCTGCAACGAATTGTATCGTGAAAAGCTCTATACAAATAAACTTGAATTTAATTAAAACCTTAGTTAGCATTTTTCAGAAACTAACATTCAAATAAAATTTTTATACAATTAAAAAAAATGCAATTGTAGTTTTTGAATAGCTGTTGTGTCTTTAAATATTTTGTCATATGTAATATGATCTGCTGCAGCCAATAATTAATAGCAGTATGTTTCATGTTGAAATACATTTATTATTGCATACATACAACATCAATTGCTCCATACATAAATGTGCACTTTTTGTGTGCACTTCAAATACAGATCGAGTACTTGTTACTGAATTGCAGTTTTGTGGTTTGTGTATACATACATATAAGTTTAATTCCACAGAATTGTTTACTACTGGGCTAAAAGCTACAAATGAACGTTAACTTCACAAAAGGAGTTAATTCCTATAAAACCTTGCTTCTCATTAATAACTGGCGCTAGCAATGTCAGGTCCAACGCTTTCATTACATACAGAACACCTGAACAAATTACTTCTAATGCCTTTGAATGTTAAGTGGTTACACTGTGTTCATCAGTCATCAAAAGAAAGAAAAAAAAATATTATCCACAACCTGATACGTGTCTGTATTCTGGAGATATTCACAGTTAGTGCTTTGGAATGCATTTTGGAATGGTTTTCTCATGCATTAATTCACACAATCTTGCTGGCTGGCTTCTTCTGACCCATTCCTCAACCAAACCCCCAAAAGAGACAAACTTTTCAGTGCTTTTAAGCTCCAAAAATAAATCTGTAATGCTTAAAGCCAAAATATGTTGCTCAACACGTCCCAGGCGAACTTTTAAACAGCTATGCAGATGTTAAATTTGTACCTAAAATGTAAACACGGAACAAAAGCACAAGTAAAATACTGCTTTCTTGAAATACATACACTTTAACCAAGAATGAATCATTTCAGTATATGCCTTTGAGGGACATTAAAAACCTGCATAACATGAGTAAATTGACTGCTCACATAAAATAAGTGCCTGAAGGCTGATCATTCACCCATAATGCATCAGCACAGTCTGGAATGCTATACAATTAACAAAAACACCTGCGGCTGAACCATGATATGCTTTCCCAGAACCAAATAAACACCTATGGGTCCTTTGAACTCCAGACTTTTATCAACAAGGCATTGCTACAAAAAGGTAGCTTTAAATGTTGCACCATTCAAAATCCATCTTTTTGTGTTTCCTCTCAAGATTATACCATATTTTATAAATATTTCTCTCAAAATCAGTTCGAAAGACATAATGCTATAATGACTCTGGGGTCAGCAGACTCGTAAGATATCCGAATCCCTCAATATGGCGATGCAAACACGCAAGCGCACTCGCACGAACAGCTAAAATACACAGAAACAGACGGCGCACTCCAAAATACAGCACAGTATTCCTCCACATCACAATAAATAGATTTATCAACAACCTGTTCATCGAAAATAAAAAAACATGATTTCATTGAGCGAATAAGTACACATTGCACAAAAGAAAGCATGACCAAAATCCTGAAGGAGGAACCCACCAAATCAAACACACAAACACACACAACCCATGTTTAATACAGCAGTTCTGCCGTGAGATTTGGATCAGATGAACTGAAAGCACATGTATATACAGTGTTGATGAATGAGAGGAGCCGCTGTGACCCTCATGCTCCACTCGAAATGTGTTTGAAAGCCTAGAGGACAGAGCTCTTCAGTGCACTTTAGATATGGCATGTATATGCTGTAAATATAATCACAATTCAGAACTACTTTACATTTTTCCCCACCAGGAAGACATATAATCACTATGAATATGTATAGAAGATATATTTCGACAAGCTAAGCACATCGGGCGTGCTACAGGATGCATGGGGGGTGGGAGTGGGTCTTTTGCATGAACACCCAGAAAAATAAAGACTCTTGATTTGAGTATGCAGAAAAGCACAGCAACAGTTACTGCTGCAGGCTCTGAACCTAAACGTAGGCAATAGAAACAGGTAAAAGACACATTCATAATGAGTTTAACAACAAACAAGTATCTCTGGTCAAGCCCATTTTACGGATATGATGGCGTAGAACACGTCAGACACAGCCAGGCATTTTAAATCTGTGCGTTTGATAATAACAAGTTTTCTTATTTGCATTGGGTTACAGAATAAAGGGATAGTTCACCAAAAAATGATCAACTGCTCACTCTCATGTCTTTACAAACCTGTTTAAATGTTCTTTCTTCTGTGGAACATACAAGAACATATTTTGAAGAATGTTTCAACTGGTTTTGTCCATATAATGGAAGTCAATGGGGTCCAAATAAAAAAACAAAAAATATGTTCAAAATATCTTCTGTGCTCCGACATGAGGGTAAGCAGAGGATGAAATTGAAATCGCAATGAGATATATAATTGAATATTTGTAAATTTTTTACATCTGATCATGTAGCTTAAATCTTCGGCCTAATGTATAATAAACTAAATCTGGCCATTGAAGTGTAAAATGTTACACACATATGTGTGTATATGCAGGTTAATACGCAAATTACAGGTTTTTTGCCCATTATTTTAAAAACTGAAAATATACTAACATACTGTGTTGATTTCCTCTTGGTTTCCCATCTACGTTGGGCTAAAAGAAACGGTTGGATTTATTTCGGACAAACGGGTCAACACTTCCAACACCACGTTATTATACAAACCATACTCGTATTATAGATACACAATAATATTTTCTCTGTATTTTACATACACGCTGTATCATCTCTCTGTGAATTCGTTTCTGGAAGGGATGTGGGCATTTTTGATGCTGGTATTAGTCCTGGTTGAGATCAGAGGAGGGATTGTGGGAAACGTGGAAGTGGGAAGCGACGCCCAGTTGCTGTCCATGCCAAAGCCTGAGCTGGGGAGGCTGCTCTGGGGTTGTGGGAAGGGAACGGATGAGACTGTGGGTATAAGGGGCGGGCCGGTCCCACCTGCGGATGGAGCCTTCATTGAAAGGAAGTCTGAATCGTCATCGAATGTGACCCACTTTTGGGTTTGTTTGGCTGGGGCTACTGCTGGAGCAGGAACTAAGGATTGTTGTCTGGAGAACGATGGTGGAAGAGTTGAACTGTGAACCACAGCTGACATGGCCCTGTTGAGGCCCGACCTGGCCTCTTGGGCCTGCTGCTGGGTGTAGAAATCGGGCGTGAGCGATCGGCGTGGGGAGGACAACGAGTTGCCAGTTAAAGGGTTGGTGCTGTTGGGTCTGGGCTGGGCTTCTGTGAGGAACGGATTGGGGGATGAACGGAGGGTCTCCTGGGATTTGCTGCGGGAGGGAACAGGGGGAGGCAGGAGACATGGAGTGCTGCTGGTGTCCGGAGCTGAGAACAGGGAGAGGGAGCTGGGTAACGTGGAGGAAGAAGAAGGGGAGGGGGTGGATGAGGAAGAGGAGCAAAGAAGGGAAGCGGAGAACGGTGAATTTTGGAAAAGGGACTGGGTGTTAAGCATGTCGAAGGGGTCTAGATTCCATTGTGCTTCTCTTTGGACTCCATTCATGACCTTGGCCTGGGGAAAGAAAACACACAAGGGCTACAATATGAAATCAAACTTACAGTTTAGGGAGAAGCTACAACACAATGAAGTTGCAGAATCAACATGAAATCAAATTTGATTTTATTAAATATATTGCGGAAAAATTGCGGTCTTTGTAACCTTCCTTAACCCTCCTAAGCTTTTCAAGAAATGGTCACACCTTTGCTGTTTGGAACATTATTTATTTATTTATTTTTATTCTACTAAACTAACTTGCCTGAAGTAGTAACAACTAGTCTGGGGAATTTTAGGTTCAAAAGCTGACAAATAATTTCCCCCTTTGGCTGTTGGGGGTCATTTTTGAAGTAATACTGTATAATTTAAACTCTTTTTTAAATGAATGATATAACATTCAAGCAGTAACAATAAAATTATACATTTCTTTTGATATTTTAGGTTAAACAATTCAGTAAATTGGCACCAAACTTCTTAATGCACCTTTAAATATTCTGTTTCACTCACAAATATGTATCATTACAGACATAAAACAACATTTCATGTTGACTTTTAATTATAAATCATGTGTTTGTTACAAGTTTTAATAAAATGACTTGTTGGTTAAAACATAAATGGTGCAATGACAGACCTTAAAAAAAATCTAAATCAGAAAGATCTAAATTTTGTTTATTAAACCGTCTAATGAAACAATAAAAAAACGACATTATACAACATCAAAAACATAATTAGTGTGCAAGTCTACTAGAGGTAAAGTGAAGCTGCTGTATTTACTCATAAAATGACTTGAAAACAATTATATCACAGTTAAAAACAAAAACAAACAATACCCACAACGAATACTGGATGACACTTTCCTTGAACCCCCTGTCAGAACAACATTAAACTCATAACCTGGCACTTTTTCTAGAAATTGCAATATACAATAATGTCAAGGGGTTCAAGTTAAGTTTACACTTCTCTGATATTTAAAATAAAAGAAGGTTAAATTAAAGATGTAAAGGGGAAAAAAACAACTATAACATGGAGGATCCTATATGTATGAGCACCCATACATTGTGACTACTGGCTATGGTGCCATGAAGACAACGTAGAGACTAGAAATTACTTAATCCAGTACCTGTCAATCTGAGGATTGCTCCTGCTAGTAAAAGAGAGAGACACATGCATCAAGAAGAGCGAAACATGACTATAAGAACCACCTGGACAAAGTCGATATTACTAGAAAAGTAGAAAAAGAAGAAGAGGCCCCTAAAGCTGGGTAATGACCCCAGGATGGGCTCTTGTGGGTACCTGTCGCTCTTTATCACAATTAAATGTTGGACTTGTGATCTTGACATCCATGCAGATGTGGGCAGAGAAAGAGGACTAACCTGAGATGTAGGAGCAGGAGCAGGAGCAGACTCAGGTGGCAGTGCGTGAGAGGACCGGCTCCGGGGTGGAGGCTTGGGAGATGCCAGTCCGGGCTGAGAGGTGGCAGCGGCTCCAGCAGACGCTTGAGGAGCAGGCTGAGGCATCAGCGGGGCAGGGAAGGTGGGCTGCATTGGTGGAGGGAGCTGGGCTTGTATGGGTGGGGGCAGTTGAGGTTGCATTGTAGGCTGCATTGGCGACATGGACTGGGGCTGCATGGGTGATGTCATCTGAGGCCTCATGGGACCTGGCAGTGTGGGGGGTGGACCTGATGGACAGACACACAGCATTATTACATGATAGAAAGTTGTTAAAATGGTAAGAAATGTTTAAATCAATAAATAATCAATAATTATTAAATAATAATCAAATACATTATCAATAATATATGTAATAATTATTATTACTATCATTTTAATAATTGTAGGTTGTGAATGTACCTTTGAATGTACCTTTAAATATCCTGTTTCAGTCATAAATATGTATTGTTACAGATGTAAAAAGGGGTTAAAAATGTAATTTTAAACAACGTGTTACACGTTTTGATGAAATTCACAATGACTTATTGGTTAAAACATGAATGGTGTAATGACACCAGGGTTATTATCGTTAACTAAAACTAAAATTGAAACTAAAATTAAAACCATTGAAAACATTTTCGTTACTTGAAATGAAATAAATGTTAAACAAAATAAATTTTTTATTTTTAGCTAGTTGTCAAGGCAACATTTCCCTTTTCAATTTATTTTAATTAGTTATTAAGTTATTAATAAGTAAATCTGAAATGAAAATGAATAAAAACTATATAGACATATATTTAAAAAAACAAAAACAACTCAAAATGGCAAAAACACACTACAAAATGACTAAACCTTTAAACTTAAAATGAAAACTGAAAAGAAAAAAAAAACTGGTTTAAAATACTAATAAAAACTATAATAGTATCTCAATTATACTAAAAACACTCTGACAGACCTTATTATAAATCAAAATCAGAAAAATCTGAATCCTATTTACTAAAATGTTCATTATAGAACAAAAAAGCATTATAAAACATAATAATAACAATAATAAAACAAAAATATTGAAGAAAAATTAACAAGTCATTAGAAGTGTTGAACAAACCCAGAGGGAGTTCAGACGGTTTGCTTTGGGGTTCAGGAACGGGTCTTGGAGCTCCAGGGTGATTATCAGGTGAGGGTCGTGGGGCCCCAGGATGCACCTCTGCTATTGGTCTGGGGGCCCCAGGATGAGCAGGAGGAGGAGGAGGTCTAGCCTGAGGAGGGATGCTGATGACTCCTGCTCGAGGTGGGATCTAAAGCCAAAAATATAATTTTAACATGGTATTTTACTTTTTTTTCTTTACATTTTTAAATATAATTTAGTCCACCCACCGGCCGTGGGGTGCCTCCAGGGGCTGATCCGGTGGCTTGACCTCGACCTGAAAAACAGCCGATGCAATAATCAAACTTTCAGTAATAGTTATATGAAATAAGTTAATAAAAATATAAGTAAACCTATTGGCACAATTTCTACAAACCAAACAATACTTTCCATACTAAATTTAAACAGATGCTTTAAAAGTAAGCCTGGAAAACGTCAGATCAATGCTCCTGTAAAGAATGTAGCTCTATTCTGTGTTGAAACTAGCCTGGGGTTACAATATTCTGGCATGAGGAAGGCCCAAATATGTCCGTCAATGAAATCTTCTGTCAGTTACAGATGGTTGATGTTATTTTGGAGTGCTGATTAGCAAAGGCAGAGTGTGTAAGAACTCACCAGCTGCATCTGCACGTGCTAACGCTGGGCTTTTTTGTCCTTTTGTCAGCATGAGAGAAGAATTATTAAAAAAAAAAAATCACAAATTATTTTCTGTTTCGTAGCATCTATTTTAGCTAGGGAGAAAATATATCTGACCCAACAGACTCCTTACCTGATGGAGAGATAATTTCTATCATTCTCTTTTTACAAAAGCTAATTCACCTAATTCAACCCATCACTTCACACTGAAACACTAAACCAAAAGAGACTTCATGCACTGCATCATGGCAAGATGGATGAACTAAACACCCCTGCCCCAATAGTTAATTTCTCTTAGCAAGTGCAGGAGGTCTCAAGTGATCAGGTGATCATCATACACAATAACAAACACTGCTAAAAACGTCTAAAACCTAAATTACCTTCATAATCAGTCACATCAAACTCTAGATTGAGAGGCTCAGCAAAGCCTTCGAAAGAAAATTCACAATGTTTCCAAAAATTACATTATAAACAAAAATCAGTAATGAAGAACAAAATCCACATGGCAAAATAATTACTTAATATTTCATATTTAATATATTATACCACAAAAAGCCAAATTTACAATGAGGCTCAGGAAAAGCATGAAGAAACACAACCAAACGGACAAACCAAAGTCTGCCAGACATTTTTTGCTATGCCAACCTAATATCAGGTGCAATTAACCAAGTCAATAAACACTAAACAGCATTAAGCCAATATTCCACAGCTAATACACAGCACTGGTTCATGTACAGAATTACCTGCTGAATCTTTCCTAACAGGTGTGGGACTTCTGCTTCCTTTAGAAACCACAGGACATTGTGAAATGAATGAATGAAATAAAGTAAAATAAAAAACAAGTGAAAACATATGTAGTGCGCTCATTCATACGGGTGGTTCAATCTCAGATAAAACTCATGACTTCGGGATAAGAACAGATCTTTAAACCCAAAACTCTGTCATGCCTGTGTAAACATTTACAAAGATTTCACAGCTGTACCTGAGGGTGGTGGTGGGCGCTGCGGAGGTGCAGGTCGGGCTGGTGGGGCGTTGGGGCGTGGAGGAGGGGGACGTTTTGGCTCTAGTCCCTGTGAAGAGAGAGCTCCAGCTGGCTGACCATCAACAGGAGAACCTGACGAAAGAGAGAGGAAAAAAACATGCTATTATCACAAGTGTCAAATCAACAGCCTGGGGGATTTAGCTTAGCTCACAGCACTGCAAACCACACAGAAGCCTTGAGACACACACTCTATAAGAGCTCAGGAACCACTGAAGCACATCAGCAACACCTCTGCAAACAGCACTCTTTACCTGCCTGTTCCCTTCTAATGGATGCTGGGCTTAATCTTCCTTTTTGCAGTGTAAAAACAAAGGAAAATTAATGCACTGGAATTTTTTATATGTTCCAGAGTTTGAGAAATTACCATTTTTGTTTAACTCTGTATATTGAAATCTACTACAGGGTTACAGAAGAGAACTAATTATTAAAATTATTATTCTACTTCACTGATGCTTTATGTACTGTATATAGCTATATAGTTTGGGGTCTGTAAGATTTTTTTTATGTTACTAAAAGAAGAACCTTATGCTCACAAAGTCTCCATTTATTTGATTAAAATCAATTTTGTAAATAAAATAATATTATGAAATATTAATACAATTTAAAATACTTTTTTTTTTAAAATTTTTAATTTATTATAAATTGTAATTTATTCTGGGATTATTTCAGAAATGATTCTAATATTCTGATTTGGTGCTCAGGCTGCGGCTTAAAATTTGAAACCATTATACATTTTTCTCAGGATTCTTTGAAAAATAGAAAGTTCAAAAGAATAGCATTTATTTGAAATAGAAATATTTTCTAAGATTATAAATGTCTATACTGTCACTTTTGATCAATTTAATGCATCATGGCTGAATAGAAGCATTAATTTCTTTCAAAAAATTGTAATCTTACTGACCCAAACTTTTGAACAGTAGTTAAAAATAAAGACAATGACAAAAAGTGATATAAATCCATAAGAGTATGTCCATGTTGAATACAGTCAAATACTAGCACTACCCTGTGGTGGTCCAGCTGTGCGTGGAGGGGCTCTGCTTGGCCGGATGGGGGGTGCAGGTTCTCCGTGGGTAGGAGAGGGGCAGGGGCTGGTGCGTGGGGATGTGGCAGGGGACGCGCCTAGATCCATGCCTGCTCCAGGCTGCAGGTGCTGGGGTAAAATCTCCTCAATCTCCTCATCCACATCACCTGTAAACACAGCGATAAAAATCTAACTCCATACAGTTCCAGAGTTCCATAGATTCCTATTGAATTTTGGTACCATGCAACTCAAAAAGGTGTGACACCTTCCATGTCATACTCTTCTCCCATGTCAGAGTTTTCTGCCAGCAGGGTGGAGCTGGTGGATGTTGGGATGCTGCCGCAGATTCTCTCCACACTCATTTCCTCCTCTAGACTCTTTATCCAACCTGGACTCCTCAGACGGATGTCTATGGTCTTACCATTCACCTGCATGCAAACACAAAGAGGGATGGTAAAAAAGGTCAATATTAGGGTTCCATGCAATACATATGTGCATGTGAATTTTTTTTAATTGTCAATATCTAATATGTAATCTTAACAGTAGAGTCTCTTACAGTAGAGGCGCTCAAAGATAGAGCTGCTAAAGCAGAGTATCCCTCCAAAAATGTCACCCACATTTTCTCTTCAACAAACCTGTTCAGAAGAAAAAAAATATGTATTCATAATTTATGTATATATACAGATATTTATACACATATGTTACAGAGAATGTTATGTTCACTAAGGTTGCATTTATTTAATCAAAAATAGAGTAAAAACAGTAATATTGTGAAGTATTATTACAATTTAAAATTACTATTTGCTATTTTAATATATTTTAAAATTGTATTTATTCCTGTGATGGCTAAGCTGAATTTTCAGCAACATTACTCCAAAAATCATTCCAATATGCTGATTTGAGCTTAAAAAACATTTGTTCTTATTATTAATATTGGAAACAGATTCTTTGATGAACGGAACTTTGAACAGCATTTATTTGAAATAGAAATATTTTGAAAAATGATAAATGTCTTCACTGTTACTTTCGAACAAAATTTTATATAACAATTTAAAGAGCGATTAAATATAACTGGAATTAAATTATATATACAAAATAACCTGTACCTGATAAGAATAACCTCGCCAAAATGAGCAAACTTGTCCAACAGGTCATCAATCAGTGCATCATCAAAGTAGTCATCAGGACCAGACGTGCAGAGAGAGACGAGGATGGTGCCATCTGGTGGACCCTGCAGGGCGATCACTTCCTTATACACCTGATGTCTGGCCTCTGGATCCACCTCAAGTATGTCCACATCTATGATGGCCACCACAGGCCTGCAAGAAATAAATGGGAAGGGTACAAGAACAGTGATTCCTAAACTTAAAGTACCTGTGGCCCACACAAACAAATGCAAAATTTGAACAATTACTTACAGTAAAAAAATGAATTGACTGCCTTCTGCAGTACCACTGAGGCCCACTGGAGGGCACTAAACACATTGCTGGTGCAAACTTGAAAGTTGTGGTTCTGGTATTAGTCTCTCTCACCTGTGATCAGAGGTTTTGAGCTCTGCTCTACCATAATATTTGAGCTCTCCAGGGCTCCATGGGTACTGATCTTCCTCATTCACTGGGGCTCCTACTACATTCAACTCCAACTCTTCCGCTGTAATACACACAGGCAGATCTAATCAAAATTCTTCAAGGAAAGCATAATCTGTTGCTGCATTTCAAGTTCGGTTGATGGTTGAAGATATGTTATTAATATAATTCTCACCAGTTTTATCAAAGTTCCACTTCCTTCTCTTCCACAGCACACGGTCAGTCCAGGCTGGTGTGCGGCACTTCTCACTGGTGTCGTAGTCCTCCGAAAACAGGTCATATTTGTAAGTGGGGGCAAAATCCAGCTTCCCTTCAATAAAGCCTCTAAAAACCTGAAATATGAATAAAATAGAGAAATAAAAATAGTGACAAAAAAAAGACATGTTCCACTGATATAGCTGTTTTTTCCTGATATACCTGTCCAGCATTCTTCTGCTCTACCAGTTGATCTCCAGCAATCAGTGCATCCCAATTTTGCTGTCTGATCAGCTCCTTTGTCTCTTCATTAGGAATACTTATTCGGTAGTTGAAGTCGCCACACCAGAATACATAATCATGGGAGTACAGGAGCCGGCCCTAAAAATAAATAAATAGATTGATAACTTATTATTAATAATTTAATAACACTAAACATTTTATTATTTTTCATTTTCATGTTTTTATTATGTCATATAAAATAATAAATTATATATTAATACCTATTATAATGTAGTTAATATTATTAAGAACAAAAATAATAATTACTTAAACATTTTTTATATTTGTTTTTATTATTTATATTATATAAAAATACATATAAATAATATTACATGTTTTACATTCAATGTATTTAAATATTAATAATTTATAAGCAGTAATAAAAAATAAGAATTATTATTAAAAAAAGAAGAAGAATGTGTTCATAAATGGAACAGAACTAACAGATATTTTTACATCATAAATGAATTACCATGGGGAAGGACAGTTTGCGTGCAATTTCATTGTAGTCGTCGTTCCTCTCTTTGACCTGTGATTGGCCGGCGGCAAAGTGTGAGCACACAAAGCAGATGCTTGTGGTGTGGAAGAGCAGGCGTATAGCCACACCCCCTTTATTACCAGTGGCTCCGCCCATTCCAGTCTTTACTGTGTCCACAGCAACGTCCCTATGTGAGGAAAACGACACACAATATGAGATCTCATAATAAACTCTAATCCTTTTAAATATCTGAAATCACACTGATTTGTCAATAATAAAATGAACCCAAATGTGTGTGAGAATACCTGATGAATGGTGCATGCTGAGGGCGTATGAAGACGAACAGACAGACACCCACCAGCTGCTCTGAGGCCAGCAGCACATACTTGTGATCTCGTGAGATGTTCTTCTGCAGTTCTGCAGCCCACAGCTTCTGATTAGTGGTGCTACCAGAGAAGAAAGAGAAGTTCAATAGTTCTCATAGGAATGAGAGCATGACAAATATATTTAACCTCAAATACTGATTGAATGAAAAGTGTATTGTGTAGCACATCACAACCACTGGACCAAAGGAAATTTAGCTTCTGCTTACTATATAACTACAACCAGTGAACTTTGAAATGTCTAACGTCAAGTTCTTACCTTGCGCTTACGATATTTCCAGCATTCAGCTCCACCATTTCCTCAAAGCCAATAGCAAAGATGTCCACTGGGTTGGATTTTCCATCTGCATGACAAAACCCACAAAAGCCACTAAAGTATTTGCACTAGTTTTTTTTTTGTCGCTGACAATAGCAACCTCATTTCTTTGTAAAGTATAATTTGCATTGATGTTGCATCAACACATACCTTGGAATTCTGGGTGGCCGGCCTTCTTAGGGGCATCCATGAGCCAGTCATTGAGCGTGTGGTTACGAAACGCAATACTGCGGAACTGCTTGCCCCCGTTCACGTTCCACGTACCAACACACACTCTGATCTTTTTGGGACGTGTGTACTTGAAGTGGTTCTGACACATGCCCAGAAGCACTCTGGGAGAGGCTAAAACAGAAAGGGTGAGATATTCTTATCAAAAACCTACATCAAATAATCAATGAGAATATGAAATATGAATATGAAAGTGCACAAAAAGAAAATGCAGAGCATATGACATTGACCAAACCACTGAGACACACCAAACAGACTGAATTATTTCCTTGAAAGTCGGACAAAAAAAGATACAACGTATTTAAAACAAGACAACACAGATGATAAAAAGAAAAAACACACTGTACAATGTCAGAGGCGCCAAAATAAACAGTGAGTTTATGAAACGGAACCATATACAGTTATGGATTTATGGTTGGTCTGTGTATACTGTACCTGACTGTAAAATGGGCTCAGAGACTAACATTGTAAGCATTAAGGAGAAAAAGAAAGAACAAAGGAAGAGGGGAAGAGAGAGAGGTTAAAAATTAGCCGTTAGACAGATAACAGAATTAGTCCTCTGGATCAACACTAATCTCACACCCAAAGCAGCTGGGAGTCATAGATTAGCACGCTAGCATGAGGAAATGCATTCAGATCCAGATCCAGATCCACAGGATGAAATCAGTCCACTGCAGCAGACTGATCCCATAAACCGTGACCACAAACACAAAATACCAAAGGTGGAGATGTTTGAAACCTCCTATAACTCAGTAAAGTCCATAAAATCGGTAATTTCAACAAGCATTTGCTAGGTATTTTAAATCTATTCTTTAATAGGCAATGCATTTACGATATGTTCATATTATGAATAGATTTATATTAATGTTATTAATAGATTTATATTATAATTAATTATATTACTAATATATTTCTATTTTTATAATATATCTAAATCTGAATATATTTGTTAATTTGTCGGAAGTTTTTCTAACACATGAAAACACACTGTGAATCTGTTTGTGTGAAATACTTCAACTTCATCATTAAAAGAATTTTCAATATAAACAATTATGGCTGTTACCTATAAAAACAACTCATCATAAAATACAAAAGAACATAATGCACAATATATTATAGAACAATAAACACTTGACGGAACACATTTTTAATAACTGTCCATAATTGTAACAACAACGGTACTTATGTTCACAACAGTGGCATTTTTTTATCCCCTCATTTTAAATATTTGGTGTACTTTTGTTATTTTTGCGAGCATTTTTCCCCACAGCCCTGGTTTATTTCTGACTCTGAGGGGCTGTTTACACGACAACGTTTTCAGCCAAAAACGGGAAACTTTTTATGTGTTTTGCCTGTTCGTTTACACGACAATGGCGTTTTGGGGACTGAAAACGCATATTTTTGAAAACGGGTTTCAAAGTGCAAGTTTTTGAAAACGCCACCGTTGTTGTTTCCGTGTAAACACCCAATACGGGAATCTTTGAAAACACTGATGTCATGCGCGTGCATAGTACGTGTTAGGTATGTAGACATGTGCAGTACGTGTCGATTTTAAAGGCGAGCGCGAACAAACATACACAACAATGGCGGAGTACATGGTACTGTTGCTGCTGTTTAAGAGTTTGCTAACGCTTCTTCAGCAAAGTGTGGATTTACTTCACCAATATTACAACCAACAGCGGAGACGCATCATATACACACGGCAACAGGTACTGTTTACTAACAAGGTGACTGCGCCAACTACTGGCCTGGCATACGTAATACAGTGTTTTTGGCCATTTTCGCGGATATGTGTAAACACGAATTGTTTTGAAAACGTTGTCGTGTATATGTGAATCTTTTTAAAAACGCAAGGGAAAAACTTTTCTGTTATTGACTACATCGTTGTTGTGTAAACGTAGCCTGAATTGTGGTGTTGTAAATCGTACCATACAGGCTGCTGGTTGTGAGAAGGGCTCGTGCCTTATCTGCCAGGTCACTGTTCAGGGTGCTGCCCAGTCTCAGGATATCAATGGCTTCCTGTTTCGAGCTGTCAAAGAAGTTGTTCTGAATGGTTCTGGTGACCGAGCGAGCTCCGTCTTTTAGCTTTCCACCCTACAGAAAGAAAAAAACAAAATCCAAACAAAATAGTTAATATAAAATAGTCAAGTTCTGGAACATCAAAAAACTCAGAATTAAATAAAACTTTCAAAACAAACTAAAACGCTCTATACAAAGCAAAACCATTCTCAAAACAAAACAAAACAAAACAAAAAACAAAAACACACACATTCATGAACACGTATTCAAAGGGACATCAAAGGAATAGAGAGGTCTGCTACCCGACCCGAGCCCGACGGGTTCCGAAATACTTTCGGGTTTCGGGTTAGACGCAGGTTCACACACGCAACTTTCATCTCTCTCTCGCGCGCGCTAATTCAAATAAATGATATAATTAGCATAATTAATTCAAATAAATGCGATCTTACTGCACTGCATCTATGTGTCTGATTTACAGGGTTCCCACTCTTTCATGAACACCAGATTCAATGACTTTCAAGGACTTTTTAAAGCACCATTTATTTTATATCAAGCACCTATCAAATTCACACCCCAGCATATGTAGTGTTATGAAAGACCTTACATTACTTAGTTCACTTACACTAAACATTTACATAAAACATTT